CAGGTTCATTCTTCAGTGCAATGGCTCAGCTCCAGGAGCCCTGGGTGTGACTCTAACACTATGTAGAAATTGATTTTTCTTGCAGGATAGTGGTTACTGTGACCACCAAACAATTCCATCTCTCCTGTTCTCATCAGGATGATTTCACAGGTGTCATCCCAGTCTCTCTGGTTGATATTTAACTCAATCAGGGCTTGTTTGAAGATAGCATTGCTATCAAAGTATCTCAGAATGCTTTGCAGCGGGCAGAGCTGTATATTTCATCATCGTTGGGTTGTCTATCAAACACAGCAGCGGCCAGAGGTTGGCTAAAGTGAGACTGTTGGAATACGCTGACCTTGTCCCTGCCGTGTTCTTCATCACCTCCTGCATCGCAGCTTAGAATCCCTCCTGTGGGCAGTGCCAGCAGTTATTCAGACGGGAGTGGCTTCCTTCCTCGTTTTGTTTGTTCATGCCTACAGAAGATGACTTTTCACCTCGTGGCACTGATTGCTGTTGCCATGGTGGGACCACGTGTTGCCCTGGATGTGCACATACATAGTGAGGTGCAATACTGAAATATTCATTAGATTCGTGCTTTCTCATTTTATAAGTTTATCCACAGTACACTCTCCAGTTAGCTGATGGAAGGCACAACATGTCAATCAGGTTATGCTAGCCGCTCACTTCCAAGAACAATTTAACAGGGGCTCTCATTACAGTGATCCTCGGGCACTCACCTTGTTGGAGCAGTTAAAATACACACTACAGAGTGAGCGGGGACTTTGATGCCAGTAAAGAATTCTATATCCGGAATCATACTATCTTGTTGATTACCTTTTAGTGGCTTCTATGGTGACCCCAGAGTAGAGGGGCTCATTTAATGAGATTGTTAATGTTTCTAGAGAACCAGCAATTTGATCAATTCTCTTTGGGGAGGCACTTTTGCAGAGCTAGCATAAGTGACAGTTCTACACGAAGCATTATCTTTTCTTGCACAACATTGAAAGCTTACATGCTGCTTGACAAATTTGAATTTTAAAAAGTGAGAATGATTGGCACTTGGTAACTTACACAGAAATATAAAGTGGTACAGGAAAATTGCCCATTTCTTTTAGATTTACATTTTATATGTTTTTTTTTTTCTTTTAAGGAGTGATATGACATGTAATTTCCATCAACTTCAGCCAGTTATGTGTGAAAGAGGCTACAAGTTCAGCTCTGTAGAGAACAAGCAAGTCATGGGGAGAACCAAGAAAAGCACACAGCCTCCCCGCTGTCTTCGTTCTCGACTAGCGCTGCTTATTTGCAGGTCAAGACTGAAATCCTAAGACAGATACTACACGTCTTGAAAACAACTCGCCTTGTCCCTGGTTCCTGACCCACCAACCCCAGTGTCTCACCTATTAAGTGTCTTTCCAGATCCATTAGATGCAAGGAGAAAGGGGAGCAGATAGAGAGGTATGACCCAGCTTACAGATAACGACTTCTTTTTATGCACTGGCATAAAGCAGCTATTGTCTATTCATTCCTTTATGTAGTTAAATATTTACTGATATATAATAGCAAAGCACCCAGCTTTGTGTATATGACAAGTTATCCATCTTCATTATAATTCTGAAGATGTGTAATGATAAAGATAATTGGGGCCTTCAACTCCAAACACAAATCCTATTTAGGAATCTTGAATTTTTTTTTTCCCATCACCATTTATCCCCTCTATGCCCTCTTCTACCTCCACATGCCCCCCCCCCACTTACCATCACCACTCTGTTGTCCATGTCCATGAATTCTGTCTCTTTTTTGCTCAATCTCCAACCCCACCCCACCCCCGCCTGAGCTATCAGTCTGCTCTCTGTCTGGGATTCTGTCTCTATTTTGCTCGGTAGTTCAGATTGTTCATTAAATTCCACATATGAGTGAAATCATACGGTACTTGACTTTCTCTGACTGGCTGTCACTGATCATAAGGTTGTCCAGGTCCAACCATGCTGTTGAAAAGGGTAAAATTGTCTTCCTTTTTACGGCAGAGTAGTATTCCATTAGGAATCTTGAATTTTTTTAATAGGAATATTCTGTCATATCAATTTGTAGTGTGTTTGCCTTTCATTAAACACAAACAACTGACCTCCTGCTTGAACACATATAAAAATGTATTGACAGGGCCATATACAATTATTGTCTAGAATTTTCATTGACTTCTTTTCTGGCTTATCAGACCCCTAGTCATCCCACCACTTAACATTTAAACAGTTCTCTTTAGTTTGGACTACTGCATGGAAACATGAACAATTATTCCTTTGGAAAACAGTGAAAGGGGTACTTTGCTTCTAAGGACAGTTGTTGGGCTATGAAAAGCAGTTTTTAGTCCTGACAACCACTGGATTAAGAACAATGCTATTCCAAGAGGCAATTTATTTTATAACGAGGTTCATTTATTTATTCAGCAGTTATTTGAGATGGGGTTGGGCATAAGCCCTGTGAGGGCTAGAACTGGTTTATTTTGTTCACTGTTGGTATTCAGAGCACCCAGCACATAGAGAATTGATTTAAAAAGGACTGAATGAATGAACGTTGTTGATTGACAGATAAAGAAACAAGGAATCTGAGAATGTAAGTTCCTCCTGAAGGTCACTTGGGTGTTAGAGTTCCAAGTCTGGTTAGACTCCAAGGCCTGTGCCCCTTCTCTCATGACAGACTTGATTGACAGGCAACTGTCCAGCCCCGCCTCATTCCCGTTGTAAGTCACATCCTTTCCTGGGCAAGTGGAGGTGATGGGAGAAATGGTAAGCACTATCTTGGTAGAGCAGATGTCCATGAAGGCCATAAAAGCCCCATCTGAGGTAGCCCCAGAAAAATCTTACCTTCACTTTGGTCATTTTAATCTGGATCCCCTACCTTCTAGGTACTGAAATATATTCCAGGTTATGCTATATAGATAACCTGCAGGCCTGTAAAAAGAGGAGGCAAGCCAATGCCTGAGACAATAGTCCTTACAAATGCTGATTGTGTTCACCCCTATGTGAAGCCCTCCTCCTTGCTCTTGATATGGCTGAAAACACAGTGAGCCTGTGTCTGTGGTTGGGGGAGAAAGATCCTCAGTTATAAACCAAAATACAATGTATTAACAGGAGAGATTTAACACCTACAGTCACACTTGGAGTTACAAGGTGTTAACGAGCAAGGTAAACCAAGAAATGCATTTTGTCCCTCCTTGGCTGCCTGGGTCTGCTGTTGGTGCAGAATAACTGAAACCTCAAGTTGTGAAACTATGAATCGGGGGTTTCCTGTATTAAGAATGATGTCATCTTGTAAGATGGGGGACTTTCAGTGAAATGCAGGAACATTCAAGATAATGTGTTTTCAGCAAGCAGGACACTGAATTTATTGCAGAGGGGGGTGTGTTAGTTGACCAAAATGGAGAATGATGAGAAGTAACTAAATTATGTATGACAGTCCTTACAGAACAGAGGAAGGAAGAACACTTAATGATGCTGTGGTTGAAGGACCAGCAGCAATTGGTGATGTATAGGTTGGAGGTTGGTAAGAAGAGAAATGGATCTATGAAGACTCAAACACTACATAGATGCCTGAGGCAAAGACCAAGCCTTGGACTGGGGAGGGGGAGGGGAAACAGGCGCTTGGCTTCTAATAAATTTCAGTGACAACGAGACAGCCAAGTAAAGTTAACTTGACATTAAAAATCATCATCTTAATCTATGTAGCTCTTTCAAGCCTGAGTCCTATCAAGGAAAAAAAAAATCTATAGTTAATGATGAAGTATTTTTCCCCTTCGCTTTCCCGGCATCCACCGAATGCAGTACATAATTTAATTACTGAATCTACAGGCTGGACCACGGAGATGAAGAATGATGTGTCCGCTGTAGTGAGAAATTAGGTAGAACCAACTGTTTATTCTCATCATTCTTCCTCCGTTTGGCTAAATTAATATAGTTAACAAGCTTTTGTTTGGATTAGTGGCCCAGACGTGGGATGCGCCGATCAGAACTCGTGATCATTACAGTAGCTATTATTTATGGAGTGGTGGCAGTCCCCTGGGCCCCTTGCGCAAAGCAAGGATGAGCTCTTCTGCCGGGCTCTGTGCTGGAACCGGTGTTCCCGCAGACTTAGGGGCTAGACGTCTGAACAGAACAGCGCAGCTCGAGGAAATCAGGCTTAATTCCTCCGGGCACATGACTTCAGAAACATCACTTGCGTTCTTTCCCTCTGACCTGTGTGTGCCACGTTTTCCTGATCCTTTAAATAACTGTAACGAAACGAGCACAATGTTATCGCCCGCAAACGCTGTCCGTCTTCCGCCGAGTCTGCGTGGAGGAGTAAACTGGCCGTGCAAAGCGCGGATGCAAATGTAGCTCGAGGCACGGTGCCCGGGCAGGGGTCTGGCCGGGGGCAGGGGTCTGGCCTGCAGCGGGGCGGGCCCGGCCGCGCACACCGCCAGGCGGCTCCGGGCCCGGGTTCCCACGACGGGCCCGGCCAGGGCTCCCCACTTCCTGCGCGCTCAGGTTCCCTGCACTGGGCTCTTTCAGGTCTTTTATTCACGTTTTACATCGTCAGAGCGAGGCCTTGAGTAGTTGACGGTAGATTCGGGTGGGGGAAGAAACAAGAAACAAACCTCGCCCTCAACAACAAAACGACCCAAACGTCAGGTTCTGAGATCTGAAAAAATGCACGTTTTCAAGTCAGGTCCTCGGAGGGGCCGCGAGCCTCCCACCCGGCGCCGCCCCGGGGTCCAGGAGCGCGGCGGGGGCTCCGGGATCCCGGGCTCAGGGCGGCGGGGCGACCGCGTGGGTCCCAGCCCAGTGGCCCCGCCGCCGCCAGCGCAAAGTCGGGGGCGACCTGCCGGCCGGGGGCCGCGCGAGCTCACGGCGCGACTCGGAGCAGGAAGCGGGGAGCTCGGGGCGCGGCCCGGCCCCTCCGCGGAGCACGGCTGCCCCGGCCGCTACCTTCCGGCCACGCGGCGGCCCCGCCCCCTCTCCCGACTTCCTTCCCGGGCGCGGCGGGAACCGGCCGGCCTGCAGGTCGCCGAGCGGAGCTGGAGGGACCCGGCCGTCCCGGCGGGTACGCGGCCCGCGGGTCACGTGGCGCGGCTGGAGCACGGGGTGCAGGGCGCCGGGCTCGGGGCGGGGAACTCGGGCTGCCCCCGACCGGGGTTCAGCCGGCCGGGCTCGGGGTGCCAGGGGCGGGGAACTCGGGCTGCCCGCGACCGGGGTTCAGCCGGCCGGGCTCACTCCGTGGCGGGCAGCAGGGCACCCCGGAGGGGGCTTTTCCCCCCGGGAGGCGAGAGGAGGGGTGCGGGACTCCGAAGGCGACGGTCACTGCGTGCGCCCGCGGGTGCGGTGGGAACGCGTGGATTCGTCCTGGGATCGGAATCGAGGGGGGTGGGAGGAACTTGGGTTCTGTCTCGGCCGGTGACGAGGTGCGTTTCCCGGGACTAGCTGTCCCCACGGTTCCTGCAGCTGGGTCTGGGGCACACGTGGGCGCTAACCGCCACTCGGGAAGCGCCAGGTGGAGCCGAAGTGCCTTGCGGCCTCCGCTGCCTCCCCTCCTCCACCGCCGGGTTCTAGTTTCCCTGGCGCCCTGCAGCGATTTGGGTAAACCGGTCCAGGCCGGCCTGGCTTCCTGTTCGGAGGGTTTACAGGCCTCCCAGAACTTGGGCGACATAATCAGTGGATGATCCTGGTTCCCAGGACCCCCCTGTTCCCTGCATTCCAGTCGGGGGCCCTGGTGAAAGTCTCACCTTCCTAGAGCTCAGATGTCTAGGCTTTCTGGAGACTTCTTAGAATGCCGACTCAGTTTCTGTGTTGGCCTGCTTCCTTGCAAGGACCTCTGCCCCCTCTACTGGAAGTTGTAGGTCACCTTCAGGGGTTCCCCTTTGTAGAGACAGCTTGTGCATGCCCGTGTTACTAAACCTTGCCTTGGGGATAGCACGGGGCACTTTTCATAGTTTCTCCTCATTTGGTTCAGTACTGAGTTGATAACTCTGTCCCATCTGGAGAAAGGAAGGAAGGGAAAGGGACAGATTCTCTAGTTAAGGTCAGAGTTGGGACAGCACCAAACGAAGTCCACCAGCAAGGATAATGATCCTGTGGTTTGGGGCGAGTTACCTAAGTTCTCACAGCCTAAGATGGGGTGTTACTATCTACCTTAGTTAGGAAGCAGGCTTGAGTGAGGTGATGTGTATAACCTTTAACCGTATCTGAAATATATTAGATGATCAATAAATGTTTTTTAATCCCCCTCCCCCTTGTACTGGCTCCATTTTATAAGAGAGAGTGGTGAAGAATGAAAACAATTTGTAGGGCAGGCATTTCTATTAACTTAAAAAAAATCCTGTGACGAAATTGTGAATAGATGTAATATTTGGGAATGTGAGGCTCTGTGTGCCAGATTCAGAGTTTCTTAATTTTTTTCTTAAGACCAGAGACAGTCTGGGGTCCATGTTCTGTGATTTCTCTCTCTCTCTCTCTTTTGTTAACCCTTACCTGAGAGTATTTTTCCATTGACTTTTTTTTTTTTAATTCCTCATCTGAGGATATTTTTCTACTTATTATCAGATAGAGTGGGAGGGAGGGAGAGAGAGACAGAGACAAACATCGATATGATAGAGCCACATTGACTGGTTGCCTCCCGCAGGACCCGACCAGGGCTGGGGACGAACCACAACTGAGGTATGGCCCTGGCTGGTTTGGCTCAGCAGTTAGAGCGTAGGCCTGCGGTCCAGAGAGACCCAGGTTCGGTTCCCGCTAAGGGTATGTACCTCGGTTGCAGTTTGTCCCCAGCCTTGGTTGGTCGTGTGGGTGGCAGCCACTCGATGTGTCCCTTTCACGTCGATGTTTCTCTCTCTCCTCCCCACCCCCCACTCTGTCTGAACAAAAAATGGAAAAATGTCCTCAGGTGATGATAAAAAAAACAACAAAAACAACTGAGGTACGTACCCTTGACCCTCGAATCTGCAACTCATCATTGGTCCTTGGGCCAATGCTCTAACTGCTGAGCCAAACTGGCCAGGGCTCCATGGACTTTTTAAAGAGAGTGGAAAGAAGGGAGAGAGAGAGGGAGAGAAATATTGATGTGAGAGAGACACATGGATTGGTTATATGCCCTTGACCAGAATCGAACCAGAGACCTTTCGGGCCTCGAGCTAACGCTCTAACTGATGAGCCAAACTAGCCAGGGCCCATGTTCTGTAATCTCTGATTGCTAAATGTAATTGAAGTTGCCTGAGTTTGGCAATGCAAAGTTTGAATGTGGCTGGATTGAACTGGAAAGCGGATTCACCCAAATGCTTCCCTTCACTGCTGTTTTGTGTTTTCCTTCTAGACCCAGCATGAGTGAAGTTCCCTGCAAGAAACGTGAGGACTATTTGGAGTGGCCTGAGTATTTCATGGCCGTGGCCTTCCTGTCAGCACAGAGAAGCAAAGATCCAAATTCCCAGGTAAGTGAGTTTTGGACCCTCACTGACAGAGATACCTGCAGAGGAGCAAATGACCAAAGGCAGTTCGAAAAGGCGCAGTAAAGCTGCTGTTTTTGTGCTGCATTCCTAAGCGTGGGTCATCTTCCTGTGAGAGGGTAGTTGTCCGGTGCCTCTAGTGCCCCCTCTGGGGCCAGGGGTACTCTTTCTTTGGCTTGTGGGAACTGCCACAGAAAACAAGCAAGGAGACAGAGCTCTTAGCACCCCCAGAAGCTGTGTGTCCTTTTGGAGTTCTGCCGACCTCTGGTTTCACTGACCACCTACCTCTCTGGTGGCAGATCGGCCACTTGGAGTTACCGAGCCGTTGGGCATGTTTTGCCGTAGGTCGGAGCTTGCATCGTGAATGCAGAAAACAAGATCGTGGGGATCGGGTACAATGGAATGCCAAATGGGTGCAGCGATGACCTCTTGCCTTGGAGGAGGACAGCAGAGAGGAAGCTGGACACCAAATACCCTTACGGTAGGGCATGCTTTGTGTTCCATTCTGCTTAGTGGCATAACCCTGGTGAGTGTTTGCTTACAGTAGGTGGTCAGAAAGCATCTTTCCCTTTTTCAGTCATGAACAGCTAGAAAGAAAAAGAAAAAAACACGTCCTATTGAACTACCCCAATTTCTTGTCCCCTTCCCTTAAGTTCCAAAGAGAGCCAGTGAATGGAAGCATGGTGGTGGTCACACAGCCCGCCACTGAAGTCTAGGATCTGTTGTCTGTGGTGGGCATGTTTCACTGGTGACCTGCCAGGCTGTACACCTCTAGGGCATTGGCGGCCGGCTTCTACGCCTGGCTGAGGACTGTGCGCAGTGGCCCTGTAGGTTGTTTCTTTGCTGCTTGGAAGCAGAGCCAGCTTCCAGAACCAAGTGCTGGCAAGGACTGAGATCTGATGAGAAGCACGACTCATTCAGCCCCTCTGCCTACCCAGGAAATATGGCTCGAGCTCATCTCTGGGGAGCAGGAAACAAACTGGGAGCTGGCCCTCGGGAGATGGATGATGTGGTAGCCACCTCCTGGGCCTCGGGCTCTGCAGTCCCAGGGTAGGCTGTGGTCAGACCACATTCCAGGTGGGTGGGACCGGACACCTTTGGGCTGGCCGCCTGTTTTTCATCTTTAAATTAGAGGAGGGTGCCTCTTATAATTTGTCCTCTATCTGAGCCCCAGGGAGAATCGCTGCAGCGAATATCTGGAAGGGACAAACCACAGCTTCCCTTCTGCTTTAACTCCCTAGAGGTTTCTTCACTAATGCGTGAAAGGCAAATTGGGCTGCCTGTGCCGGGTGGTGTTTCAGAGTGCTCGGACCTGTGTGTGTGACCGGGCTGGCAGAGCTGACGGAGGCCAAGCAGATGCTGGCCACCCTGCAGGGAAAGTTTGCCTTCAGGAAGCAGGGTTCTAGGGGTGACGGAAGACCTTTCGCTCCGTGGACTCTCCCCTCGGAGGCGCCTTACTTATTTTTACTATTGTTCTTGGGCCTTAATCATGTTCAGTAGACCCCATAAATTTCTTTGCAAACTGCTTCAGGCAACTGCTCTGTTTTGGAAAGAAAGAAAAAAAAAAAGATGCCCAGAGGTGGAGAAGGAATTGAGGAGGGAGGGCGGGGAGAAAGACAAAGCACCCAGGCTGTTCAGGAAGTGAGACAGTTTAGTGATGAAGGGGATTTCATAGTCAGACGAGCCCTGTCAGCAGCAGGGAGAGAGGGACCCCACTCGAGAACGCGGAGCTGTCTGCTCGGCCTCCGCGTCCCAGCTGCAAGGAGTGTGTGAACGGAAGAAGGTGCCAGCATTTTAGACTCTGTCGTCCTGATTTGATGCTGAGCTTTCGATGTTAAGAGAGATGGGAAGGGGTGAGTTGTTGGTAGGTGCGAAGGTCATTCTTCACAGTACAGCGCGGTGTTCCATATGAAATTGCAGAAGTGAAGGGGTTCATGTGTTCAGGATCGACCTGAGATAGAGAGTCCAGACAGTGACCTATCGCTCCTTGTGCTGCGATTCCATAGGGAGGACTTCTTAGGGTGCCAGGCTGTGGCACTGAGGCTGGTGCAGAAGATGCCAGTGGTTGGACCAGCGTAGAGGGGTCCCGGTTGGTTACGGAGCGGCTCACCCAGGAGGACCCCGTGCCATCCTCAATCACTGTGACCCCAGGCACATTGTGGGCAGTGACCCAGAAGCCAGAGGCTTGTAACACCTTTGGAAACCCCGACTCGCCAGTGTTGCAGAACCTTGAGGTAGCTGATTTTATTTGTTCTGAGACACTGCCTTTTGTCCAGGTGGAGACAGTACCTTTCAGAGATCCTTTCTAGGAGGAATAAAAAAAAACAAAACCAACCCACACAGGCATCGGTCCAACCTCACTGATTGTTTTTATTGAATAGTTGCTGAGTTTCTGGGCACTGGCTGGCTGTCTGCATTATTTTTTACTCTCCATACGATACCTCTAGGTTTTCAAAGCTCTTTGCCCTCACTTATCAATTATTCATTTTACACGGAGCTGTGTTAGAATGTAGACAATTTTCTTTCACAAGAGTAAGCTTGTAATTTGATGTACCATAAAAGTCACAGACGGTATTAAGTGGTTTTTAAAAGGCATTTAGCATGACGCCCGTCATGATACACACAAAGGTGGGCTTTCCGTGTAAATAACGAGGACTGGCTGTACGCGGGACACTCGGTCTTGTTTTTTCAAGGGATTTCAGCCCGCAGAGTAGAAAATGTTGAGATAGCCTTGGGTGCCATAGAAGTGTTTGATGATATTTGACTAAAATGCAGATTCTTTTCACTTCTGTTTTAAAACTTAAAGCATTTTAACAAAGAAGCTCTAGTGTCTGGAACTGGGTGGGCTCAGTGCTTTCTGTCCTCCCTGACATACTGGTGGCTGAGCTCCTCCATCAGGGTCGATAGATTATGCACAAATCCCTGCAAAGGAGCTTTAGAGATTATCGGAGCTCCAGACCAATGACTCCTAATTCTTTTGAATATATAGGGACCCTCTCAGAAAACTTGCAGGACCCCTACCTAAGCAAGACTAGTTTAACTTGCTGTCATTTGAAGAAGAAAATCTGTGACGACATAAGGTGCTTCATAGCAGTAATGCTTTGCATTGATCTGGGCTTTATTCGCCAGCGTTTGTGTGTGTCAGGGGAGAGTGTGTTCTGTGCCAGACTGGATGTTCACACAGCCTGTGGTCCCAGGCCCCTTGCAGAGCCTCCGTGGTGCCTTGGGGTTCTGAATCCAAGCCTGCCCGTTTCCTTCATGGCCCCCCCAAATGTGAAGGAGATCCTGTAATACCGTGCAGGCAGTGAGCTCTCCTACTTCTGCGCCAGTGCTCTTTGCTCCCCCACTCTGTCTCCTGTGGGGTTTTTCTGTCGTGTCGCCTGGATCCTAGCACAGCGGACCCCCCTCCCTTCCCACTGTGCACTTGAGTGAACGGAGGCTTAGAGGGAGTAACTCCCGGAGGTCCGGGGCTGGCCCAGGTGGCCTGCACCTCGTTAGGCAGAACGCCATTGGCACGTGGCTGGCTTTGAGTTTCTCCAAGGGGAAGGCTCCAGATGGGACTTGATGAGCTTGAGTGTGCCGATAACTATACAAGTTAATTCTCCTCCTTAATTCTGTATGTGTGGAAGTCATTCGTCTTGATTGGCACTTTGTGGAAAGGAGAGAGACTGAGAACTTGTAACACAATAGGAGCTGGGGCCTCTCCCGGCTGTGTCTCAGGAGAGGCATTTTTACAGGGTGTTTCTGTTCTTCCACCCTTAGGATCAAAACTTCATGAAACGATTTGATTATAATGTACTATTAATGTGGATAATGAAAATTCCCCCTGCCAGAGAAACTGCTTTTTATCTCATCCTTTTCCAGAAAAATCCAAAAGACAGTGCGATGTCAGTAGCGTTAAGTGGCAGAAGTCAGCCTTATTACAGTGACACCTTTTCACATGAATGACAGTTAAACCGGGAAGCAGCAGACTTATCTAATTTACTATGAAAAAAAAAAAACTTTGGAAGCTTTTTATTTGTACAAGGGGGTGGTTGTGAAACCTGGGATGGAGTATTTGGCTGACATTTTCCGTTCCTTTCTCTTCGTGAAATTCATTAGCGTGAGGCACATTTAATCAAAACACCAATTTTATAAAGTGGAGGTAAAATACTCCTGGTAATTCAGGTATCATACGTTCCTTGGGCGTTTGTAACCAGGTCTGATGACACAGGGTACAGGCCGGGGAGTTGGAGTAGCGTCCACTTCTTTCCATCCTCAAGAGCCATCGTTCAAGTTCCCATTTTTAAAGTTCTCATCGGGCTCGCTCGTGTTTCCACGCCTGCTGACTCCGGTTGGTGGGTGGGTCTGTGGGTGCGCGTGCCTCTGCCACCCAGACTTTCGAGGTGTCAGGACTGCTTTGCCTGTGGCATCACACTTCGTCGTCGTGTCCCCAGAGTAGGTAGTAGCCTCACTCTAGATGCATCAGGCCGAAGTGGGGACACGGGGCTCTCCCCAGTTCATAGTTCTACAGGAATACTTTAAAAGGGCCGTTATGCGCCCTGGCCGGTTTGGCTCAGCAGTTAGAGCGTCGGCCTGCAGTCCAGAGAGACCTGGGTTCAGTTCCCGCTAAGGGCACATACCTCGGTTGCAGTTTGTCCCCGGCCCTGGTTGGGTCGTGTGGGTGGCAACCACTTGATGTGTCCCTTTCACGGCGATGTTTCTCTCTCCCCCCCCCCCACTCTATCTGAACAAAATGTCGGGTGAGGATAAAATAAATAAATAAATAAATAAATAAATAAAAGGTCCGTTATGCTGAGAAGGCAAGTGCTGGAATTAATTAAGGAGAGAATTCGGCATGGCAGCCTCGGACCGATCTGCCGGTGTGTGGCAGTGCGCCTTTAAACTTTGTATTTAAATGTAATCTTTATCTTTCAGATTTAGCATATCGTTAAGCACGCACAGATGTCATTTTAGTGATTACTTAGCCATTTACCTTACCCCCTTGCACACTGGCATTTTCCTGACTGCCACGGACGTGATGTATTTCTTTGGCATCCAAAGGTTAGTCTTGAGAAACTAATTTATCAGGAAGTTAGGAGGCCGATCCTTCTTAAGCGGCATCTTCCTCACAACCTGTAAGAGCTTCTGAGTAATTACGATCAAGTTTGTCCCCTCAGCCAGTGGGAACCGAATGCCCTCCGGTTCGTGAGGCAGACTGTGGGTGATGACTCGCCGTTGCGGTCCCAGCGGGAGCGTTCCTCTTGCGGCTGCCCACCACCCCTCTCCTGCCTGGCCAGCGTGTCTTCCTGGCCTGACCTTGGGGCGTCCAATTAGGGATTTTGTACGAAATAACTGATATAAGCAATGGAAAAACCTTTGACAAGTTTACAGGAAAGTCATGAAGGAGATGTTCTCATGAGTCAAGAAGCAAACTCGGGCTTCACTGTGTGATGTCTCAGATAAACAGGGAAACGCCACGGCCGGGGTGTGAGCCTCCCC